CAACAGTGATGCGTAAAATAATTGAGAATTCATGTAAACATGAACTAAAGAAGTTGAATATTCTTATATCAAATTAATTCTCATGTGCTACTTCTTCTTAGGACGAATTGATTATTAAAAATGTTACAAGGAAAAATTAGTTTGCATTTTTTAAATGCATACAAGGAATATATGTAAGCTCATATATCCACCATATCGACAATTTAAATATTTTATGGTTTTAATATATGCATATATGAGATGGTTACATGTTTGTTTATTATCGACTAGTAACCTAGCGTTTAGGAAGTTAACTTGTTTAGATAATTCAATTACACACACGTTTTTCAAATTATATGATAAAAAAACCTATCTTCACAGTGCGCATAATAATTTAATTATTATTAAATATAATATCCACAAAATGGTTTAATTGAATAATTAATTAAATAGATCCAATTAATATGGAGATCATTACTTATGAGGACAAACTTGTTTGAGACATTCTATTTTATACGTAGCAATACAAATTATCATCAAAATGCATCGTTAGAGAGAGGACTGAAAATGCATATTAAAAAACACGAATCTCCATCTACAACAAAAATTTGATGAGATGGAAGAACATAAGAGGCTAGATGAAGAAATTAATTGGAATGTATTTTCTTTATTGCATCTTGATCCTTTGACAAAATCAATGTGAACGGGAAGTTTAAAAGATAATTTATTTACAATGTGTATCAAATTAACTATAAATGTACTTTTAACTTAAAGAATAACTAATTGGAACGATATATATTAATATTACAAATGAGTGCATGAAATATTTCGGTTCAAAAAAATGTGAAAATAATCGAGATGTCCAAATTGATAAGGAAATTCACAATTAAGATTTCAAACTAAGGACCTAGGTGCTCCTAAAGTTGTCTATTAACATAAATCAGTCATAATGTATAGAAGAAGTTCAAATTAACGAAAATGATAATAAAAAAATAAAAAAAAAAAAGTATCAATAAATTATGTCTCTAAGGGGAATATGCTAGGACCACGAAACCTACAATTGTGAACAATATTTTTCTTTATAATATTAGATGAAAAATATTGATACTAAATCCGTCAAGGAACGTTGACGTAGAAATAATCGAACAAAATAGAAAGATGCAATACAAATAGAATCAGATTTACTTAATAATTGAATTGAAATGTTCAAACACCACATGACATAAAAACTAGTTCGTTAATGAAAGCAGAGCAGAACCAGAAGAAGGAAGTTGTGTTCGCTCAAGAATTTTCACCACAAAAAAAAAGATATTATTTACGAGGAGCGGCTGCTCTCCAACAGCAACAGCGAACATTAATAATATTTCTATATATTTTTTTATAAATATCGTAGTACGTGATAATTTAGAAATGCATTTAATAGATATAGTTACTGTATTTTTATAGATTATTTGATATATATATATATGAAAATTCAATTGAAGGATTTAAAATGTATGAAAAGAAAAAAATTAGGACTGCAAGTTTTTGAGTGGGAATAGTTTCTTCTCCCACGTACACACACACATATATATATATAGGCTGCACGAAGTTTGAAGAAAGTAGAGCAGGTTTTTTTTTTTTAGAAAAGCAAAACATATCCATATTTTTCTTCTTTCTGCACGGGTATCGAGGTCAAAAAAGAAGCGTTCTTTGGTTATATACACAAAAATCTAGACAGAGATTGATAATTTTTCCTTGACGAAGAATTATTATTTTTAATTATTTTAGTGTAATTATTTAAGAGAAATTAAATTTAGTTAGAGAAGAATTTGTGTATTTTTTCGTAATATTGTGAATTTAATTTCTGTGATAGTGGATTTAATTTGAAATTTGTTTGGTTCCTCTGCTCTGGAGGATTTTTCATATAAATCTTGTTTTTTTTTTTTTTGTTTTTTTTTTAATACTTGTTTATTCGTTTGCATAAATACTGATTTAGAGATTAATTGGCTTGGAATTGCTAATTTGATCATTTGAATTAATTTTAGTGATTGCCTTAATTTATACAAGTGAAAATTAAAATATTTGAAGACCCAAAAAGTGATGTCAAAGTCAGATTGATTAGTACTATTCTTGGTTGATTTGTGGTCTGGAATTAATTGTGTGAATTATGATGGAGGAATTTGCTGGTACACTGATAAAATTATATTCTTCAAATTATTCAATTTGAAAGTCAAAGATAGAGAATTTTTTTTATCGTAAGGATTTATATAACCAGATTAAGTTAGAAACTACTAAACTAATGAAAAAATCAAATGATAATTGTGAGAAAATGCATAGAAAGATTGTAAGAACTATTTGACATTGGATTGATAATAGTGTCTATCATTATATAAGTAAAGAAGTGAATGCACAAGTTTTATAAAATAAATTGGAAAATATGTATGAGAGAAAAAATACTCAAAATAATTTTTTTTTTTCATTAAAAAACTCGTCAATATGAAGGTGAAAGATGAACAATCAATTGCAAAACACTTGAATAAATTTCAAGAGTTGGTAAACGAGTTGAACATAATAAAAATGACTCTATATGATGAATTGCAGGTGTTATTGCTCTTGAGTTCTTTTCCAGACAGTTGAGGAACCTTAATAGTATCTCTTAACAATTATGCTCCAACCGGTATTTTTCTTTATCTGTGGTAATAAATAGTTTGTACAATAAACGATTAGAAGAAAATATATGAGCATTGAGACTTCATAGACACTTGTTATAATAACAGATAGCAGGGGTAGAAGTAAAAGTAAAGGTCCTAATGGGTACTTTAAATCTAAAGGTAAATCACAATTAAAAGAAAAAATCTAGTTCTTATCACTGCGGCAAAGATGGGCATATAAAAAGAAACTACAGGGTTTGAAAAAAGGAATAGAATAGTGAGAAAA